GGTGGGGGGGGCCCAGAAGGGGCACAATTCAGTCCACAACACAAAGCACAAAGTCTCTGGGGCTGGTCACTGACCTCAACGGTCTACACATGGATAGTTTTTTTTCACATGCTATGACACAAGAAGGAGCCCTGGTGGTATAGTGGTTACAGTGTATTGTTATCCACAAGTGTACTGCCATCCACAAGGCCAGCAGTTCGAAAGCACCAGTAGTTCCACAGGAGACAGATGAGACTTCCCACTCCTGTCAAGAGTTATAGTCTCAGCAACCCACAAGAGCGCTTTCATTCTGTCCTATCGGGTCACTGTCACTTGTCATTGACTTGATGGCAGTGAGTTTGGAGGGTTGGGTTGGTTTTTTTTTAATGACACAAGAAAGACTGGGAGACACGAAACTGGGGTAGATCTGAGTTCTCTAATTCTCTTAACCTGCTGCTCTGTTTACTTCCTCTCTTGGGTTGATCTGGTACTCCCAATAGCTTTATCTAACACCGACTGACTTTAATATGTAGCCAAGATACCATGTCCCGGAAGGTTGAGTTGGGAAAGAAAGATAAACCCATAAGGTCTAAACAATTGCAGACTCACTGGACCTCATCGAATGAGTTCAGCCTTTCTTTCTACCTTTGTTGGAGCTCCCAGTTGAATTCTTCCTTTGGTCCCAAGGTCTGGCCCTGCCCTGCCTTGCACTAATGGAGAGAGCCTCAAAGCATGACTTACCTTGGCATCCATGATGCTGGTCTCCACACGGGCCACGCCCTGGTTCTCCCGGAACAGTTGGATCTTACTGATCTTGCTGAACTCGGACAACACAGTGGTGAGGTTGGTTTTGAGGTCAATAACATGGCTAATGCCGTGTCGAGGTCCCACCAGAAGAGTAGTGGCCGACTGCTTCTCATCCTAGTGTCCAAGTGTGGCATTCAGTAGTCACCGAAAGAAGGGCCGAGGAGGTGGGAAAGGGAGGCACGAGAAGGAAATACAAAGCATGCATTGGACTAGGTTTACTGGGAGGCCTGCATGCATTTGAGGCTGAGTGCCAGGGCAGGAGGACAACCTTGAGGGAAAAATGGAATGGGACACCTCTGTTCCCAAGGTAGGGCCCTAGGTTACCAGTCTAAATGGGCGCTTTAGCAGCAGTAGCGGTTGGTTAAAGGAGGCAGTAGGAGGGCTGGTTCTAGCAAAACTGTGAAGTTGGAGAGGTTTCCTTTGGTGCCTTTTAAAATCTCTTTTGAGAACCCTCTCCCTACCAACCCCCCAGGGAATTATTCCATTTGTTGTTTCTGACCCTCCAAAGCCCAGTACTCTGCCTGCCTGGCCAGGTAGCATCCTATGCTTGCTCTTTACCTTGACCCCACTGATAGCCATTAAAACTGGCATTTCTCAGCTAGTGCCTGATTTCCTTAAGACCTTGCCCAAAGCTACACTGACAAAGAAATTCTGCCCAAGGTGTTAAGGACTGATTGGAAATTTAATGTGTTTCTCCTTTAAGAAGATAGTTTGTCTTCTAATAGACATGACAGCAGTTTTAAGGTAAAGGAATACCCAATAAGTATGAGCGAAAGAGACATTTAAGGATGTGTTTGTATGGATTGTGATAAGAGTTGTATGAGCCCCTAATAAAATGATTAAAAAAAAAAAGGATGTGTTTGTGGGGATCAGGAGGGAGTCCTGGTGGCAAAGTGGGCAACCTGTTGGGCTGCAAACCACAAGGTCAGCAGTTTAAAACCACCAGCCACTCCTGGGGAGAAAAATGAGGCTTTCTAATCCCATAAAAGTTATAGACTTAGAAATCCACAAGGGGAAGTTCTACTGTGTCCTATAGGATCTCTGAGTTCGAGTCTACTTGATGGTTTTATGGGAGTCAGGTGAATGTTGGGCTACTGACCGCAAGGTCAGCGGTTCACACCCACCAGTTGCTCTATGGGAGAAAAATGAAGCTGTCAGCCCCCACCAAGATTTACCATCTCAAAACCCCTATACAGGGTAGCCACGAGTCAGAATGGGCTCAATGGCAGTGGGTCTGGTTGGTGGTATGGGGCCAGAAAGGAGTGGGAATTGACTTGACAGCATGGGATTTGGAGCTTGTGGGGACAGAGGAAAGGGAAGTGGGCTTTCAGTGTCCTTTAAATCTCAATATGCAAGTGGCTCCCACTAGGCCAGGATGAAGTGGATCCCTTTTACGGGTTCTGATAGATTCCTTGGAGCCATCAGGCTGGAGCCCTCTTGCCATCCCATTCCCTGGCATTAGCATCACCCCAAAGAAACTTTCCTGTCTTTTTTATGAACACGTGGATAAGCGGCTTTCCACCAGCGAGTCCCCCACTAGCACAACAGTGTGCTCCCAAGAGCCCATGACAGGCATCAGGAGGCAGTCAGCAAGATCACTTGAATTTCTCCTCATCAGGGCTTACTAGAATAGAGAAGCCTGGGGCACAGTCCTAGGGTGGTGGCCAGAAGACGGCTGTGATGGGCCCCAGAGGAGTGTTGCTACCTTAGAGGTGCTGGCCAGGCAGGAGGAAGTATGAGGACTCAAGAGGCTGGAGTGAGAGAACCAAGGAGTAAGGGCAATGAGATCATCAAGTTGGGCCGTGGGCCAAATCCGGTCTACCACCTGTGTTTGCATTGCTCGCTAGCTCTGAATGGTTCCTATGTTTTTGAAGGGCCGGGGGAAAAAAGAAAACAGCAAAAGAACCATATCTCGTGACATGTGAAAAGTATATGAAATTCAAATGGCGGTGTCCATAAATAAAGAGTTATTGGCACTTGGCCCCAGGCTCATTTGTTTATGCATTGTCTCTGGCTGCTTTTGTGATACGACAGCAGAGTTGAGTAGCTGCGACAGGGAATTGTAAAGCCTAATATATTTCCTGTCTGGCTCTTTTACAAAAAAAGCCCAAAACAAATGTTTTGAGAATGATGATGATGGCAACAAAGGTACAAATGTGCTTGATACAATGGATGTATGTACGGATTATGATAAGAATTGTATGAGCCCCCAATAAAATGATTAAAAAAATAAAATTACAATGATTGAAAAAAACAAACAAAAACCCAATCCAAAAAACCCCTTGGCCAACTCATCACTAGAGGTAGGGAGCGTCCACGTGGGTCACGGTGGGAACAGAGATCTCTCCCCTGACTTTATCATTCTGCCAGAAGTGCACAGGGGGGAGAGGCAGAAGGAAAAGGAAGCAGTAGGAAGGCCCTTAGCCTTATTGGCAGACAGAGAAGACCACCCCAAAGACCTAGGCAAGTGCCTTTTGCCTCCACCCTCCAAACCACAGCGCCAAGAAAGCCTCCCCGCTCCCCCACGGCCGTCACTGACCAGACCCACAGTGTTGAACAAAACGCCCGTGAAGGTCGGAAGCTCATTCAGGATTCGAAGATACTGGAGCTTTGCCTGGACTGCAGAGCCCTGTGAAAACAACCCACCCAGAAATATGAGAAGCAAAGCCATGTTCTCAGGAAACACCTCGGCCTCTCAGGGCCGGCGAGAGAATGAGCAAGCCACAGTGTGGGCATGTAAGGAGCCCCTCAGTACAGTGGTGGGAAGGTTCTAGTTTGGACGGCATCCCACTTCCGATTGTCAATACTTCTCCTATCTCCTCGTGCTGGTTCCCACAGTATCCAGCTTGCTCACATTGCTCTTGTTTTCATTTCAACGTCTTTCTCATCTCGGACGCTCTCCTTCATCTGCCCTCTCTCCCGAGAACCATCAGGCTTCAAGAGCCAGCTGGCTACTAGCCATCCTCTGCTGGGGGACCCACTCAGAACCTTTCATCTTGAGCACCCCCAAGTACCAAGCTTACTGTTCTGCTATTCCTGGTCTCTGTCAGTGGTCCTGCCATGGCCCTGGCCTTCATGCTAGAAACCCGAGATGCACACTGACACCTGAGACTCCTCCCAAGGCCTCTGACCGGTGGGCCAACCGAACCAAGATCATCATCTATCTTCTAGCTTCTGAACCCCCCTCTCTCTCTTCTCTAAGTGCACAGGGGTGAGCACCCCCAATTGTGTGTGGCCCGGTATCATCCAGGCCCTACGCTCCTTTCCCTCAACCTTCTTTACATTGTTGGGAGAGGAAGGGAACATATCGATATAAACATATAAAAGTAATGGCGTCAGCTTCCTGCCTAAACCCGCTGATGGGCCCTGCCTATGAAATGAAGTGCGAACTCCTTTCTTAGCACCCAAGGGCCCTCTTTCGTGTCACTGGTGCCCCCCATGTCCTGCCCAGCCCTTGTACTCCCTTATGCGGAATGATTGGCATGCCTTTTCATGTCCCCCCTTCTCTCCTGTCTCTGGGCCGGACAGGGCAACATCTTCCTCCTACCATCACCACTCAGTTCACCTATATAAAGGCCTATTTGTCCTCCAAGACCCAGCTATGGGATGGAATCCACCAATTCCCAGGTCTTTCCTACTTCCCTTAGGCTGGGTTTGGAGTCCTTTCTCCACGCTTCCAGGGCCCCCACCCCTGTCACATGGTGTTGCGACTTGCCTATTACGTTCTTCAAAAGGACTGTGGCTAGCTTGAGGGCAGACACCACAACACTTTTAATCTCCCTGTCCTCGCCAGAGCACTGGGAGTGCCTCAGGGGGAGAGGGGAAGGTTTGCTGGAGAAAAGGGTCTGAACTAGAAAACAATAGGATTACATATGCATAGCAAGGTAGGAATGGGTTCAGTCTCTGGGTACATTTGCATTTTGAGAGAAGCTAATAGAAGGAAGCTGGAGGAATGGGTAGAATACCTGGGGGGGCGACTGTGTCCTGTCTCTATCAGTGTGCTGTTTCTAGCACCCCTCACCATCCTCTTGCCTCTTGGGCAGGAAGCACCAGCTGGTAGAGCTGTATAAGACTAAGGAGGGCCTGCAGGGCTGGGGAAGCAGGGGGTGGGGGACCCTCAGTGGAACAGGATTTGTACTCTAGAAAGTGCTGGCAGCACAGCAGTGCTCTGCACCCTCAGCGCACTTCCCAGGAACCTATTCTCCATGGGAGGCCTTGTCCCACCCTGGCCAGGACTTTTCTCTCCTAGAATTCCAGATCCAAGAAAACAGAAAGCTGGTGAAGGGCAGGCCAGTCAGTTCTCTGGGAAATGTGCTTCCTGAGAGTACAATCTTTTCCACACAGTAGGTGCTCCACAGCATTGACTACATTGGTGCCAACACCTGACCATGATCTCCTCCTGTGTCTAGACCCTTTGGTTCACTCTTGAACTCCTATGGAGTTGTTTCCGGGAGAAGTGCAGGTTTGGAGAAAACTACTCTTAGCCCAAGCTGGGTATATACCTTAGTCAAAGAGAGTGGTGAGGCTCCCGCAGAGGATCAGACCCTGCTGGAAGACCACCCAGGAGTCCCCTGTAGCCAGGTGTGCCTGAGTAGAGCACCAAATGGCCTACTCTTGGTACCTTGGTGCCACTGGAAGGATGTGTTTGGTGAGCCTTCAGTTGCTGAGAGAGCGATTTCCGGAGGTTTTTCTCTTTGATGCCTTGCAGGAGGGTGGGGGGAAGAAAGGGTTCTAGGCCCCACTCCTTCCTAAAAACAGAAACAAAGAATAAGAAAGCAGCTAGAGACACAAAATGGGGCAGACAAAAGGAGATGGTAAGACAGAAAAGGATGAAGTCTTAGAGACAGAGGAGATGGAAGAATAGAGACTAGAAGAAAAAGAAGGGTAGGGGCAAGGGCAGAACACTGGCCCCAGGGCAGCTCAAGGGCATATGTTCTAGGTGTGAGAATTTCCAAGTCACCTCCACTTCCCCATCCTATGGCCTGTTTTCCTGAAAAGCAGTAGCTGGTACCTTTTTCCTACACAACTATTTGCCTCCCTCCCAAAGGGACTCTCTGCACAACTCACTCCACATTCTTGAGGGAGATCTTCTGACTAGGTCGAGTGGCTGAGACCGTGATATAGATGTGAAGGGCAGCAAGGCCCAAGAGCATCTCCGGCTTAGGGTCCATTCCAAAGCGTTCTCGGATAACATCATTCCGACTCTGTAAGAGAGGGGAGTCCAAACCCATCAGTTAAAGAAGATGTTTCCTCCTAACTCCCCTCATCGACTCTCTCACATCCCAGAAAAGAATTGGGGTGTCAGTAAGACATCCTACGTGGAGGGAGAGAGGAAGATGCTGCCCTTGGAGATGACGCAACAAAGGAGCCTGGTGTCTCAGAAACACTCTTGGTTTCATTCAGCAGATATTGGGCAATCTTCTTCTCCCTGACAGACACAATAAGGAGCAACTGGATGAGAAGTTCATATCGCTGCGAAAGTGAGATATGGTACCCTTTGGTGTATTTTTTTCTTTGGCCTTTTGTTATAAGAGACCCTCCCACCTTTTCTCTGGGGCCTATATTCATCCCCCAGCTACACAGGGCTACTAGCTACTAGCTCAGAAGGAAACAAAGAAGAGAGATATTGTGAGGAATTCTCCATTAAGATCTGGCCTCGAAGCCTAGGGTAGCAGAAAGAAGGCAAGGATGGGGCAAACATTCTGTTCCTTGGGGTATGAAGGGCAGTATCAGTGAGGATTCAATCTTGCTTACGCCATCCTGAAAAGGATCCCTTGGATCTACTGATCAAGGACCTGCCAACCCCAAAACCCAGAGGTTCAAAATTCCAGTTCTCGATGAATCAGTTTTCACTAGACTAGTTGTTCATTTTGTTGACGTAGACTAACAATGTGCTAGGGGATGAGGGAGCCATGATGGTACCACTAATAGCAGAAGAGAGACTCAAAAAGGAATGCTGCGTCAATGCTCACCTATATAGAAAACCCAATGGAATCTATAAAAAAGTCTACATTGTTGTTGTTGGAGGTGCCATTGAGTTGGCTCCGACCCATACTGACCCTATTCAAAACAGTACGAATCACTGCCCGGTGGGTCCTGCGCCATCCTCACAATTGTTCTGATGCCTGAGCCCGTGGATGCAGTCACTGCGTCAATCCATCTCCTCTTTCTCTATGAGAACTAATCAATGAGCTTGGCAAGTAATAGAGTGGAAGTTCAATATACAAAACCCAAATACATTTCTGTAGGTCAGCAATGAAAAATCAGTGCCATTATAGTAGCATCCAAAATACAAACTATTCAGGGATAAATCTAAAAAAAATGTGAAAAAATTCTACAATGAAAACTTTAAAATATTGCCGAGATACATTTAGATGACCTAGAAAAATGTAGAAATATACTGTGTTCATGGGTTAGAAAACCCAACATTGCTAGGACATTAATTTTCTCCAAACTGATAAATAGAATCAACATAATGTCAAGCAGAATCACAGAAGGATTCTTTTTTGAGGAAAATTCATATGGAAATGCAAAGTATCTAGACTATCCTAAACAACTTTGACAAAGAGGAACAATGTTGGAAGACAAACACTACTTGATTTCAGGACATATTGTAAAGCTACAATAATCAGAATAGGGTGATACTGGTGTAAATATACAAAAGTAGAACAATGGAATAGAATAGAGTTCAGAAACATACCAATGCATATATTAGATTCAAAAGTCACTGCAATTGAGTTGATTCTTACTCATAGTGACCCTATATAGGGTTTCTGAAGTTATAAATCTTTATAGGACCAGATAATCTCATTTTTCTCTCGGAGAGCTATTGGTAGGTTTGAACTGATGACCAAGTAGTTGGCAGCTCAACCCTTACCCCAAAGTCCTACCATATATAGCTTCTAAAGCATGTATAGATAGCAAAGTTTTTACAAAGGCACAAAAGTAATTAAGTGGAGAAAGGATAGTCTTTTCCACAATGGCGGTAGATCATCCACAGGCCAAATTGGACATCTTTATGCTTAAAAACAAAACAAAACCCCCTTGACCCATACTTCATACCATACATGAGGAGGCTTCAAAAAGTTCATAGAAAATTCTATTATCTTCAAAAATGATTATTAATAATTTAGAATTATGTAAAAAATAATGATAAAAAAGAAGGGAGAAATTAGAGGTGGGCAAAACAAGTTGGTTGACGCTGAAGACAAAGTGGGTGAATAAGCAAATGTGGTGAAGAAAGCTGATGGTTCCCGGCTATCAAAAGATACAGCATGTGCGGTCTTAAAAGCTTGAAGGTAAACAAGCGGCCATCTAGTTCAGAAGCAACAAAGCCCACATGGAGCAACATATCAGCCTGTGTGATCACGAGGTGTCAAAGGGATCACTGAAGACAAATGGGTGCATAAGCAAATGTGGTGAAGAAAGCTGATGGTGCCTGGCTATCAAAAAAGTATAGCGTCTGGGGTCTTAAAGGCTTGAAGGTAATCAAGCGGCCATCAAGCTCAGAAGCAACAAAGCCCACATGGAAGAAGCACACCAGCCTATGCAACCATGAGGTGTCGAAGGGATCAGGTATAAGGTATCATCAGAACAAAAAATCTTACCATAGTGAATGATGGGGGGAGTGCGGAGTGGAGATCGAAAGCCCATTAGTAGGCCACTCGAGATCCCCTTGCAGAGGGGTCTCAGGGAGGAGGTGAGCCAGTCAGGGTGCGATGTAACAACGATGAGAAATACAACTTTCCTCTAGTTCCTAAATGTTTCCTCCCCACTCCCACTACCATGACTCGAATTCGACTTTGCAAGTCTGGATAGACCAGAGAATGTACACTGGTACAGATAGGAACTGAAAATACAGGGAATCCAGGACGGATGAGCCCTGCAGGACCAGTGGTGTGGGTGGCGAGACGGGGAGGATAGAGGGAGAGTGGGTGGGAAAGAGGGAACCAATTACAGGGAACTATATGTGACCTCCTCCCTGGGGGACAGACAACCGAAAAGTGGGTGAAGGGAGACGTCGGACAGGGCAAGATATGACAAAATACCAATTCATAAACTATCAAGGGCTCATGAGGGAGGTGGGAGCGGGGAGGGAGGGGAAAAATGAGGACCTAATATCGGGGGTTTAAGTGGAGAGAAAAATGTTTTGAGAATGATGTACAAATGCACTGTACACAATTGATGTGTATATGAATTGCGATAACGGTTGTATGAGCCCCTAATAAAATGTTTTAAAAAATAAAATAAAATGTAAAACTAATTTAAATACAAAAAAAGAAAATTCTATTATCTTCAAATATGATTATTAATAACTTAGAATTATGTAAAAAATCTATTATCTTTTCATTTTTTCCAGGATCTTTTTGAAGCCCCCTTGTATGTTCTTTCCAAATTGATCACAAATCTAAGGTAAAGCCTAAAATGGTAAAATTGTTAGAAAGAAACAAACAGGAGGAAATCTTTATGAGCTTGGGGTAGGCAAGGATGTCTTAAATATGGCACGAAAAGCACAAACCCATAAACCAACAAATGGGACTTTATCAAAATTCAAACTCTCGCTTTGTGGAAGATACTGTTTAGAGACTGAAAAGACAAGCCACAGAAAATAACTACAACAAAGGGCTTGTATTTGGAATACATAAAGAACTTTCAGAATGCAATAATGAGCGAACAAAGAGCCCAATTACCAAAAAAGTAGGCAAAAGACTTGAACAGACATTTCACCAAAGAAAGCTGAAGTTGGCCAATCAGCACAGGAATAGATGGTCAACATGATGTCATCAGGGAAATGCAAGTACACACCACAGTGAGCGATGCCACTGTTCACCTATGAGAAAGGCTAAGAGAAAGAATATTGATACCAAGTGCTAGTGAGGATGCAGGGAAATTGCAACCCTGATACACTGCATCGAGACTCTTACGCATTGCTGTGATTATAAAGTGATGCAATTAACTTTGAAAAAAGTTTTAGAATTCACTTTGAAAGTTCAAGGTGAGTCTACCATATGATTTAACCATCCCACTCCTAGGGAAAAGAAAGCATGTGTCTGTTCCAAGACCGGCACATGAATATTCCTAGCAGCTTTCTTTGTGGTAGCTCAAACCTAGAAACGACCCAAATGTTCTGTTGTGCACAGCATTACTAGGGGTTGCACCTTGATGGCACCTAATAACAACCACCCAAGTGCTCACCAAGAGGTGAGTGGATAAACCAAGTTTTGTTCATCCATACAACAGCGCACCACTCAACAATAAAAAGAAACGGACGCTAGATAGATCCAGCAACATGAATGAATCCCACAATAATTACGCCAAGTGAAAGAAGCAGAATAAAGCAAGTGTGTGTGTACACACATTCCTAGAAAATACAAACTCATCTCTAAGTGACAGAAAGCAGGGCAGCGGTTGATTGGAGGAACAAAGTACACAGGAGCCTGAGAAGATTTGAGGGAGTGTTGGATATGTTCAATATCTTGATTCTAGCAATGTTTTCAAGGGTATTATATCCATATGGCCAAACTGATCAAAGTGTACATTTTAAAGATATGCAATTTGTTATGTGTCAATTATACTACAATGAGGCTATTGACTTTTTGTTTGCTTGTTTTTGTGGTTTCCTTCTTCTTCTTTTAAAAAGCATCTTATTGGGGGCTTGTACAGCTATCATTACATTTCATAGCTCAATCAAATCAACCAAGCGTTATACAGTTGCTACCGCAATCAGTTTCAAAACATTTTCTTTCTTCTTGAACTCCTCGATATCTACTTCCTTTTACCCCCTTCTTCCCTGACCTGACCCCCCAGGAACCCTTATGTTATTTTATTTTGCCATATCTTACAAATCCAATATATCCATTCACATACAATTCTGTTGTTCAATCCCTTCGCGTGGAGTTATACACCCATCAATGCTCTCAGCTCCCCATTCCTCCACCTCTCTTCCCATACCCTCAGGGAACTGTTACTCCTTTTACCGTTTCTGAAGCACTATCTATCTTGGCTTTCATGTATCAAATGATCTTAAATATACAGCTGAAGCTATGCAAAACTGACATAACTAATGAAGTAAAATAAAACCATAATAGTAAGGGGTGGAGATATTAAAGAACTAGAGGATAATTATGTGGTTCATCAGTGCTCTACTGCACCCTGGATTTATCATCCCTTTCATGTGGCTCTTCTGAGAGAGACTGTCCAATTATCTTACAGGTGGTTTTTGGGTTTCCACTACATCCACGCCCCCTTCACACTCATTTGGTGCTATTGACTTTTTTTTTTTAAGAAGAAGAAATAGAGCTGAAGTTCCTATCATCATGAAGTGGAAAGACAGGGTGGACATGGTCTTGTCATCATATTCTCAAATATTAGAACCAAGGCAGTTCCTAGAAGCTTGAATAAAGCAATGTAAGCAAACAGACTTAAGAAATTCATAGAGCAACCAGAACTCATTTTCCCCTAGGGTGCTGCCAAAGGAACGCAAGGATAGTAGAGACATGTTCCTGACATTTTTGTTTGTCAGAGGGCCAGGAAAGACAGCCATGATGTCTCATAGTACATCCTTCGATGCCATCAACAAAGGCAAATCAGTCTCCAGAATGTTTTTTTTTCCTCTTATCAAGTGCTCTGTGGGTCCTACCTAACCTCAATGTATCAAAAAAAAAAATGAGCTCATCTTTTTCACCAAATCCATTCCACTTCAAAGTATTCCCTAACTTGGGGGATGATAGCACTCTCTACCTGATACTTATTATGTCAAGGCCTACCAATTCTCCCTTTTAGATATTTCTTGAAGAATCCCCCACTACCCTGATTCTGGTCCTCATCATTTCTCCGGATAACTCCAAGAGCTTCCTGCTTGGGATCCTTTCTTTGTGATCTTTCTAAATGGTTCCTCTGACCAGGCTATGCTTCTTCATCAAACCTTTCTGTGATCAAACCCTCTGTGGGAATTTCTTGACCTTGACTGTACTTTAGAGTCTCTCTGTTGTTATTAGGTGCCTAGGACTCAAATAGGCTGGTTAAATCTCGGAGCCCTGTAAGAATGTCCAATCTACTAAGATGCCTTGCTCTTGAAAACTGATAAGACTTGTTTGGAAAATTAGATAGGATGTTGAGCCCCAGGCAGCTTGGGTCACCAAGCCCACTACTTTGGCCATGGCCTACAGTGGCAGAAGAAAACCGGGCCTTCAGAGTTACCTGGAAATGACAGGGAAAGTGTTTTGTTTTTTTAACATAGCAACTTTATTGTGATGGCAGAAGAGCTTGTGTGCCCTTTGGTCTGCTTGTCTCGCCCCAAACCGAACTCTACCTGGATGTACAGATACTCAAAAGCAGCAGGATCCCGACGCAGCAGCTCCACAGGGTCTTTGGGAAAGAAGCTTATTCTGAAGAGGCATTTCATCCCTTGATAATGTGTCCGCTGTACCACCTGAATCCCAAGGATGGGCCGAAGGAGGGGAAAAGAGACCGGGAATCAGCGGTTGGGGGGACAGGAAGCCAACTCAGTGACTCCTTAAGGTGAGGTTTGGGGCAGGGCTAAGCTGCTGTTTCCCAATTGGTCTCCCACCCGGAAACTCCAGTTACCCTTAGAGCAGTTGCTCTCAACCTTCCTAACGCCGTGACCCTTTCATACAGTTCCTCAGGTTGTGATGACCCCCCAACCATAACATTATTTTCGTTGCTACTCCATCACTGTCATTTTGCTACTGTTAAGAATCGGGCAACCCCTGTGAAAGGATTGTTCGACCCCCAAAGGGGTTGAGACCCACAGGTTGAGAACTGCTGCCTTAGAGGAAAGCGATAGCGAGCTACATCTTTTTTGCAGCCTTTCTGATGCACAGGGGCTAGAATTTTTGCCATCACTTATCCTGGTCATGCTCTTGATCAACCATTGGGGCTTAGCCTTAAAAACACTAGGCACTCCCAAAACAAAACAACAACAAAAACACTAGGTAGGAAGAGAAGGATCTTGCGAGCATCTCAGCCTCTTGTTGTGCGGCTAATGAGCATAGGGGCTCAGCTTCAAGCAGGAGAAGTTAGTGGTTATAAGTCACATCGCAGATGTAAAATCCCATTCCGGAAGCAGAGGTGAAAACATATATCAGTATAATTGTTGATGCTGAGGATGAGTAATGAGGGCTGCTCATGATGCTACTCCTCCTACTTTTGTGAATGTTTGAAATTTTTCATAACAAAAAAATGTTTCAAAATTTCCATTCAGAACAAGAGACCAAATGAATCCAAAAAGCCTCTTGAGGATGAGGGTGGGAAGCTTAGGCCTTCCTCCAAGCAGGACACCTACAACCTTCTTTCTTTCCCACCTGGGAGTCTCTGGATTGCATTTAGCTGAGAAGAAAAACATGAAGGTCCACCCCCCCACCCCCACCCACTAAGATCCCTATTTCTTCCCAACTGTCCCTGTGCCATTCTTTCCTACTCAACCTGCGCTTGTTGGCTGGCTCTGGGTGCCTCGGACTCTTCCTGGTGTTTCACTGTAAGTAACAAACTATCCAGCACACGTAAATTTCTCCAGTATTTTCCCATATGACAAGGAAACATACTGAACATGATTTTGTTTGTTTGTCTTGGTTTTTTTCCTATTTTCCTTACAAGTTGGTGTAGGTGACATGCTGCCCATTCTTGGTCCTAATCCGGGCTCATATGCAATCCTCACATTTTCTTAGTCTCACTAAAGAGCTCTTGTGGGAAATTCTAGTCTCTGACCCTTCCAAATTATAGCGGGCATCTGAAGGGCCATGCTTCCTCTCAGGAGGCAAAACAATCTTGCAGGTGGGCTTTTTAGGAGACAGGAGAGTTGCTGCTGACCTTTAGGCTCCACATTCAGAGCACTATGCAGTGAATCGCCAGCCCAAACTTTCTCAACTACGGACCAAGACTACTGAACTTCATGGGACATTTCTAAAGCCCTCTGGAGGTGGGTTGTGCAGACCTCAGTTGAGGACTGTGGGGTCTATCTGAGTACAACATTATTCATTTTCCAAAGAGCAGGTCTTAGGGCTTCCTCTCTAGTAGAGGCCACATGCATGCACAAGCAAGCGAGGACAAAGGACTTGCTTACATAAGCCAGGGGCTGCTTGTCCTGGAGAAGTAGGAACTTGTGATTCTGTTCTGGCCCAGCATACTCAAGGACAAGAGCAAAGTGCTCAATGTACCTCAAGGATAGTCGATCCTGGAGTGTCACCATGACATCCTGTGGAAAAGACAAAAGCCCTGAGAGACTGAATCACTTCAGCTTGGAGGAACTCGAAATGCTCAACCTGGGGAAGAAAGACTGAACGTCAAGAAATGCAATCCTGAGAAGGCGGCGGCTGGGAAAGTGTGGACCCTGGGAGACAGAGATCTAGAAGTTGTCCAGACATCTATGGTGGCCCAAGCCTCGTGCACCAGGGTGAGGAAAGTGACCCAGGAGCGTCAGAGGCCTGAAATGTAGGGAACACCAAAGGCACAGGGAGTGGGGAGGGAGGTGTCTCTGCATTTTGCCTGGCCCTCTTCCCTCCTTTCTTTCCTCTAGTCCTCCCTGCTTCCCTCTCACAGGGAAGTGCTTACTAAGTGGCAGCCCCTGAGCTGGTTCTGCCCTTGCCTTCTTTGGGAAGTCAGAATGTGAACTGGTTTGTCCAACACGTATTTTCTTAGGCATTAACCAAAACAAGAGTCACATGTATATGATTTCATGTGATTAAAACATTTTCTATTTCTGGATTCATAAGCTAAATCAAATGATTGGAGTTACCAGCAAAAATGTTCATTTTTGATTGTGGCTGCCTTTTATAGATGATCAATTTAGCAACTTGAAAAATGTGTCCACGCAGAGGAATTATGCCATGTGTCTTGTGTACAGACATAAATCTGACTACTTATGAGCTCCATCTGCTCGGCTGCCCTACTTTTTTTTCCTTCTTAATAATGGATTTGGTTTAACCCATATGTCCCAAATAATGATTTCAGCATATAACCGACATAAAACATTACCAGTGTGATATAATTATATAATATATATGGAGATTTCTACATCTCAAAAACAGAAACACAGACTCTTTAACACTGAGTCAATTCTGACTTGGGGTGATGCCATGTGTTACAGAGTAGAACTGCACTATGGGGTTTTCTTGGCTAGCATCTTTATGAAAGCAGATCACTAGGCCTTTCTTCCACGGTGCCACTGGGTGGGTTCAAACTTGATTATTAACCTTTAGGTTAATAAACCAACTTACACCACCTGGGGACCTATCTCTCTCTTCCTCTCTCCCTCCCTCCCTCCGTCCTTCCCTACCAAGGAGCCTTGGTGGTGTAGTGGTTACACATTGGCTGCTAACTGCAATGTCAGTTGCTCGAACCCCCAGCCGCTCTGATGGAGAAAGACAGGGTTTTCTATTTCCATAAAGTTACAGTCTCAGAAACTCACAGAGGCAGTTCCACCCTATTCTATAAGGTCACTATGAGTCAACATTGACTCGATGACAGTGAGTTACCTACTTACCTGTCTAGCTACCTATCTATATTGTTGTTGTGAGATGCCATTGAGTGGGTGCCAACTAACAGTGACCTCTATGTACAACAGAATGAAACTCTGCCTGGTCCAGCGCCAGCCTCACAATCGCTATGCTTTAGCCCACTGTTGGAGCCACTGTCGATCCAGTGTGTTGAGGGCCTTCTTCTTTTGTGCTGCCCCTCAACTTGACCAAGCAGGATATCCTTTTCCAGGGGCTGATCCATCCTGATAACATGGGTAAAGTACGTGAGATGAAATCTTGCCATCCTCACTTCTCAGGAGGATTCTGGCTGTACTTCCTCCAAGACAAAAAACCCAAACCCCATCAAGCTGATTCTAACTCATAGCAACCCTATAAAACAGGGTAGAACCGCCCCTGTGTGTTTCTGAAACTGTAATGATTAAAAACAAATCATTTTCATGGGGGCTCATAGAACTCTTATCACAATCCATAATACATCCATTGTGTCAAGCACATTTGTACTTTTGTTGCCACCATCATTTGCAAAACATTTGCTTTCTACTTGAGCCCTTGGTATCAGCTCCTCATTTGTTTCCCCTCCATCCCACCCACCCCCAACTGTAACTCTTTATGGGAGTAGAAAGCCCTGTCTTTCTCCCTAAGAGTGGCTGGGGCTTTTGAACTGCTGACCTCGTGGGTTAGCAGCCCAACACATAACCAACCATCTACACGACCAGAACAGAATAAATATAAATACACACACACATTATCTTCTAAATCCCATCTGTCTTCTGTGTTAGACTTACAGCATGTTTCCATTCAGACTAGCTGCCCTACTTTTAATATTTGGGTGTCTGGAAACATATCTGTGAGTGTTGCGCAAATGTCTATGTGAGGCTTATGCCATCTCTTCATTGTGACTTTCACATCCCAGGCTCCAGTATACATGCTTGGGATGTCAGCATTGCTGACCTCCCTAAAGCCAGAAAGAAAGAGGCTTGCAAATGAAGTGTCTGTAGCCAGGGTTGCCAAATAAGCCACTCTGAACAAGAAAAGACATGTAGCCATGCATATGTTTAGGTTGGCAATTTGATACTTTGGTACTTGAGAAGATCTCTTTGTAGTATCCAAGTCCTCACAGAGGCTCCAGTGTTGCTGGAACTCTGGCAGGGACAGATGAGGTTTTCTTTACAGCTCAGCTGCACTGGGATTGTGGACAGCCAAGCCAGTGATTGCCAACTGGTGTTACAAGTGTAATGGCCCCTGTGCCAGGCTGTCGATTCATCCAGGTACCTCTCTGGTACAAGTGGCTTGGCAGCCTGTCAAAATTCCAATGAATAGCAAGCACGCCCTCCACGAAGGCAGAGTGAGTTCCTGAGCAAGAGGAACACCGCAGCCCTCGAAGGTTGGGGCTACCCAGGAGGCAGTGGTGACAGTAATGGTGTGAGGTGGGAGCATACTCAGAGAAGTCGCTCAGCGAGGGAAAGAGGGGAGTGGACACTGCAGCGTGGAGACAGACTATCCAATGGACAGATCAACCCATGAGTAATTGCCGAGGAAAATTCTGACACAAAAAGATCTGCCTATTGGGAGGAGGGATATTTGGAGAACCCCTGGGTGATCTGTTTGGACACCCCCTCCCATATCATAGTCTGAGACCTTCAATCACCAAAAAACCAGCCCATGGCCCCTTAAAGAAGGTGTTTTGATCCTATGTAGGTTCCTGGCTTGGGAACCACAAGCTTTCCAAAGAAACTCTTGGTTCAATCCATGTGGTTGGGGCACAGTGTTTCTTGTTCAACTGGGGTGCTAATGGCACGTTGGGCAAGACCACTCTTTACCTAATTCAGGGATTGCTCCACTCCCTGTCAGACAACTGGAGCCCTTGATTCAAAGATACTACATGCTAGCAGCACACCAAATTGTGGTACTGATTCAAAAGGTTCTCAGGCATTCCCAGAAGCCCTCTGGGAATGGACAGAACTGACCCTGGCTGAGAGGCACTGGCAGAGGAATTTCTGAACACCTGATCACTCTTCTTAGCAAAAAGTTTCCCTAGCTTCCAACTGCCATCACATCGATTCTGACTCATAGTGACCTTATAGACAGAGTCTAATGGCTCCTTCTGGGTTTCTGAAGCTGTCAATCTTGACGGGAAGAGGGACCCTTGTCTCCTGCAGAGCAGCTGGTTGAGTCCAATGCTCCCGGGAGCAGTTCAGCGCATAACCCACTGCACCACCAGGGCCCCTTGCCCCCAGATTAGGGGTTACAACAAAAAATATATGTATTCAGGTGTCTTTGCCCAAGCATAGATATCTCGGGACACCTGTGGGCTAAGGTGGGCCATCCTGGGAAATACTCTAAGTGCCTAGTAGTTTGGACAGTACTGGCTGCATTACATTTTTCCTCCTGGGACAGGCATTCTCTTTCTGGAGAGAGTCCAGCAGCAGCAGCAGCAGCAGGAGTCAACATTTTTGTCCCAGAGCAAATTAACCTGGGGGTTAATCATATCATCACCTCAACTGGTCGGGATGAAGACAATCAGTACAACTTTTAAATGCCTGGCTGAGCTATTAAGGATCCCAGCTTCCTAATTGTTCTTCCTGCGAAAGGAATAGCCAAAGGGACTGTTGCTGGACTTTTCCCATCTTGGTTGTGTTTAAGATCTGGTTGTTACTTAAAAAGCAAAGCAAGACGAAACGAATCTCCCCCGAGATTGCATTTGTTGATTTCTGTGTGTAAACTTGTGTAGGTGTTAGTGTATCAATAGAGATTGCCTCTGCTTTATAAATGGCTTGCTTAATGATCTTCACACTTTGTGGTTCCCAAGAGTCCCGAAGGGACCACTATAACATGAACACAGCGCAGTTCGCAAGTAGATGTGCATCTATGTGTTCATGCATATCCACAGGCCAATTTCCACCCCACCAAACACCGATTCCCCGCTCCCCCCAACCTGAGGATGGTACTTTTGCAGCCTTGCAAAGCAGCAGGAGCTAAAAGGCTACTGCGTGCCAGCAGCGAGCAGCTGTGTACAGAGTGCGAGGAATGTGAGGGCAAGCAGGTGTGTGTCCTCTGGAGAAGAAGCCCTCATCAAGAGGAGGCTCTGCCTGTACCTTAACAGTGGTCCGGCCGTCAAATGTGAATGACTTGATCTGCCCATTTTCTAAGAAAACCTTCAGGACATTGGGGATAAGAAGAAGAGCTTCTTTCTTCATCATGTTCTGCAACAGACAGGGAAAGCGCAGGGTTATTTAGACGCAGGCTCATTTAGCAGGCTGCTGTTGTAGAAAGAGGAGGGAAGCCAGAGGCAGGGTGTGGAAAGGAAAAGAAAGGAGGGAGAGAAAGCACAAAGCAAAGGAGACAGGCAGCCAAAGGTCTGGCAGGAAAAACAGACGGGAAAGCAGATCAATCAACTCTCCCAAGAAGACAATGACTATTCCAGGTCTAAAGTTCATTCCTCGTTTCATGTCGAAGCACAATAGAACCATGTTCTATCGTGGACCAGAAAGCTCCTTTTGAGCTCACCCCACTCACCTGACCACATCTCCTGCAACACTCACATACCCACCCATGCGCTTCACACATTAAGATCCCGTCCGCACCGAGGCCTTCGCCATTCCCCCTCCCTCATAGCATCTAAAGCGCTTTCTGACGTGGCCTCCTCCGACCTCTTCAGCATCATGTGTTACCATTCTTGGTTTGCACGCTGCTCTTTCATGCCTCTATCCTTCGGAATAAGATGTGGTGTGTACTAAGTTCTCACTAAGTATTTGATGAAGGTGGTTCCTCCTGCTTAGAATACCCTTCCTCGTTCTCTCCTTGCTAAACTCGGTATTCACCCCCCAAGACCCAACCCAAATCTGTGCTACTGGCAGCTTCGTCCAATGACCTGACCTGCTCTTCCCCAGCGTTCCTATTGCAGTTGATACGCACCTCTCTCGTGCTCTCGGAACATTTCTAGAGGTTTGTCTTTCTCATACTGTAAATAGTTACCTCGGAGCCCAATGACTGGGTTCCTGACACAGTTGGTGATCTCTAACAGGCTGCTGAATGAATGAACTGTGGGAACGAAACCAAGCCAGAGGCTGTCACGTCACTTCGGGCTGATGTGCCCTGCGAAATTGTACTTCATGGGGTTTTCAATCTGTGACCTTTCAAAAGCAGGTCACCAGCTCGTTCTTCTAAGTTGTCTTTAGGTGGGTTGGAACTGCCAGCTTTGGGGCTGGCAATCCAACGCTGAACTGCTTCTACCAGCCAGGGACTCCAGTGGTGGATAAATTCGTGTTGACTTGAATGGTTACACTCAGTAGAAGAGTTCCATCATTTCCTTGGGCCCACATCCTTAGCTCTACATGAGCTGGAGGTAGGCATAAGGTAGCCAGACTCATCAATTCAGTGGACAGTCACTGAGCCGGTGCTATATGTCCAGCATGATGTTCGGCCCCATGAGGACGACACCAAAATGAGAGCACTGGGGTCCTGTCTTAAATTCTTGTTACCGTGACCTGGCATACACACATGAATCCACTAGAGAATGGTTATCTGACCAGAACAACCGAAGAAGTAGATACAACGTAGATAAAGTTTCCTAGACCAGGTGGATTGGAACGTGATTTTGAAGGCGATGATGGGTGTGGATTGTAAGAGAGATCAGAACAGTTCTGACCAAGGGACTGCCACGGAGAATGCATGGGACGAGGAATGAGCACATCCTCTGGGGATGAGGGACGGTTGGCAGGGGTGGGAGCCAGGAGTCTGGCTTGGCTAGGGTGAAGCCAAGGTGGGAAGTGCCGGTATATAGCTCTGGAAAAGTGTAACTCCCTGGCTTGCTCTCTGATCCCGAGAATCCTGCCAAGCGCAGAGGCCCCGGATCCCTAGGCTCAGCGGTGGCAGGTTTTATTTAGCACACTGGGTTGGACTCAGATAATTACTTAATTGATTTTGCTTAAAAATAGAGTTGTCAGGGAACGCCCACAGGATTTATTTTTGCTGTGGCTGCTTAATAAAGCTTGGAAACAAAGGGAACAGGATAATAGGATACCCGAGAGTGATCTGGGCCTGGACTCCCCCAGGTTTCAACCAATGGTGAGGCTGCTGTGATCTGCATGGGTGGGGGGTGGTGGTGGCGCTGCTGTAGTGGTACCAGGTAGAGCACAGCTGGAGGTGGAAGGTTGGAGTCTGTGCCTCATCACCTATCCAGGAGAGAGAGACAAATACCTCCTGGGGCACTGGAGGTCTGATGGGTCTGGAGTAGTGGTAGTGGTGCGGGGCTTAGTTGAAACGTATGAAGAAGGGATTCAAAAGGAAAGGGAGAATGGAGGAAGGCGAAGGGAGGGAAAGAAGGAAGGGAAGGGAGGAGAGGGCAAGTGCGGGAGCTCTTCACTGAGTGGCTTGGTGGTGGTTGATTGCTCTGGAATGTTGAGGTGCAACAGGACACAGCTGCCTATCACTCCACTGCCAATGAGTTGATTCTCACTCAGAATGAGCCTATAGGATGCAGGAGAACTACCGCTTTGGGTTTCTGAGACTTTATGGAAGTCGAAAGCCTCAGCTGTCTCCTGCAGAGCGGCTGCTGGGTTCTGGGTCTTTCAAGATTCTAGTGACTTAAACCTCAGGATGCTTCATCCAGATTTGCAGGGCCTACATACTGCTCCTTTTCCTCGCCCCTCTTCAACCTTTTCTGCTAGGAATGGCATGACCATTTGCCTAGTGGCATCCTATGGTCTCCTGGGCTTCCCAGACTTCCTCGGACAGGGATGGGGGGAGGGCACGAGCAGAGTGGGAACCAGTGTCAGGAAAATGGGGATGGGAGACACCTGTGTCCTCTAGGCCTTCTTCTGAGTGTCTCTGCCTCAAAGAACGCTAGAAGTGCCTGGCTTCCCACTGATTTCCCTGTTGAGTCTTGGCTTGTTATCGCTTCTCAGCAATTGCAGCTGTGCCTCAGATCATGAATGACAAGGGCCTCCTGAGAGCCCGGCCAGCCCCAGCGTGCAAAAGCATGCAAGTGCCCTTAGTGCCAGCTCTCCCCAGTCCCAGCCCCACTGGGATCTCACCAACTTCCGCTGAGTCCTGGGGGACTCTGAGCCCCAATGCCCTTTTGCGTAATACACATCTTTCTGCTCTTCCTGTACCTCGTCTCATATGTGGACCTAGAGCAGGCAATTCACCTCATGCAAACCCCACAAAGCAATGACCAAGAATGGGGGCTGCCCAAACCAAGCCCACTGCCCTCGAGTTGACTCCAATTCACAGAGACCCTGAAGGACTGAAGAGAGCTACCCACTAGGGCTTCCAAGGCTGTAATCGGTACAGAAAGCAGATGGACACCATCCTCCCAAGGAGTGGCTGGTGGGTTCGAACCACCGACCTTTCTGTTAGCCGCCAAGGGTTTAACCATTGGACTACCAGGGTTCCTTGTGGGCAAGCTCCCATCCCCCAAATTGGCAGCTACGTGGACATCACCGGCTCCATGAAACAATGCCACTCAGCAGTGGATTCGATATGATCTCAGTCTGAACCGAGTATCCACTCAACATCACTGTGAGCGATCCAGTGTCAAGGAACAGATACCTATTTTGCATCCTATAGAGGGCTGGGAAGGAGCCCTGATAGCCTAGTGGTTACACATTGGGCTGCTAACCATAAGGTCAGCCGTTCAAAAGCACCAGCTACTCTTTAGGAGAAAGACCAAGCTTTCTACTCCCATCAAGAATTACACTCTCTGAAACTCACAAGGGGCAGTTCTACCCTATCCTATAGGGTCACTGAGTTGGTATCAACTTGATGCCAGGGAGTTTGGTCTGGTTTATACAGGCCTGGGAATCCAGCAGATGCCTATTAAGATGGTGTGACTTAATGGGAGTCTGGATCATTTTCACTATAAACGCTTCGTTCACCTCTCTAAAGTCTTCTCCGGTCAACCAAGCAGAGTTGTAGGCTCACTTCAACGTGAAGAGGGCTTAATCTCACCAGCCGCTCCTCCAGTGACTCTTCAGCAAACCACTCCTTCCTGCCTGCTTTCACCGAGTCACCCGAAAACACTTCCTGAGCATTTGTTCTGAGTGGGAGCTGCTGCGTGAGGATGAAATGCTCGGAAGCTCCATGGGGATTCCTGAGTGACTCAGGACATACTCTTCCCCACTATGCCTGGGGCCTCTCTGGACACCACACCCTCTTCACCTGTTGCCCACCTATAGAGCACCGGGGCCCTCCCACTCCCACTTCTTCCTATGAGGAAGAGTGGACAAGCAACTGCCCCCAAGTGAGAACTTGAAATCTAGGCCACTTCTGGCCAAGGGGCCAGGAGAGTGAGCTGGGCTGCTCTTACTGCATCTGTTTCTCTGACTGCCAACTGCTCAGCAAAGGAGACCTTCCCGAGATTGGACCTCAGCTTTGCCTTCTTCGCAGCAGGTTTGGGGGACTGGAAAAAGAACAGGGGACTGGTTATTTCTCCATCCTTGGGGAAAACCTAGCCTTTGTCAATGTTGGCGTTTAAGATCTCTAAGCACACATACACTTTGCCTTCCTTATTAATAAGTCAGTAGGTACTGATTTTCTAGTAGGTGCAAGGTAATGTGCTAAGTGATTCGTTATATAATTGGTGTGTTCTGAGAAAGCTGGGTACGAATTGAATTTGCATACATTGAATCTCTAAGCCTAGGGAGGTTCGCACAAATTCTTGCTGTTGTGAGGGACCATCAAGTCGGTTCTGACTCATCCATGGACAACAAAACCAAACACGACCTGATCCTGTGCCACACTCACAATTGTTGTTATGTTTGAACTCCTGTGTTGACCCACACCCTTGAGGGTCACCCTCTTCTCTACTGACCTTCTATTAAATATAATGTCCTTCTCCAGGGACTGGTCCCTCCTGATAACATGCCCAAAGTATATGAGACAAAGTCTCGCCACTCATCTTCCAAGGAGCATTCTTGAGTAATAACTAAAACATAATGTTTATACATTTAGTGTTCTTAATATGACATATGACTAAACAGGGGTCTTAATTATAGCTAGATGTAAGTATCACACAGGATTGATAGTAATGGTTTTACATAGGTCTCAGATATACCGTAGGAATGATGCATATAACAAAAATTGTTTTAGAGGTGGAAGAAAAGAGGCCTAGCACTCCAAAATGATTTGTTCACAGTTCAGGAACAGAACTTTATTATTATTTTAAATCATTTTATTGGGGGCCCTTACAGCTCTTAGC